CTTCCTCTGCTCCCTCCCTCTCTCTCTTTTAAGTCTTGACCACAGAGTGAGGGAGGCGGGGGTTGGGCGCAGAGTTTGGCTCATGCGGCTGCGAAACTTTTCCCCGGTGCTGTGAGCCGGGGCGCGGCGGCGGGCGCTGCGCTCCGCGCTGGCCACCCGCGGGTGGAATCTCCCGGCTCTCCCGGGGACTGACTTCTTTCCTCTCTTTGTGTTTATTGAAACTCCTCCCCGTGGCGTCAGGTTTTCCTGAAGGAAGCTCTTGAGCAGAAGCTGGAGAAGGATCGGGAAGAGGAGTTGAGGAAAGCAGCTGTAGTCATCCGGGCCCACGTCTTGGGCTACATGGCAAGGTCAGTGCTGGGGGCTGCCCCGCCATCCCTTGTGCTTGCGTGCCTGGGTTGCCCCGACCCCCTGCTTTGCCCTCTAGTCCCCTGTCATCCCTCCCTTCTTCCCCTCCTGCATTCTGAGGGAGAGTTGCAGTATCTGCCCTCCCTGCCGGCATCACTTCTGCTGAAACCTTCCTGCACCTTGGGCGCCTCTTCTTCGGCTCTGTGCACGCTTGCACCCTCTCGCAGCGCTGCTCAGCAGGCTTCTGCAGGGACCTCTGTACCCATTGCTTGCCTCGATGACACCTTTTCCTTGCCTTCAGGGCTCTCCTGGCTGGGCCCCACCCACGCTTTGGGTCCCCTCGTTTTCCTTCTGCCTGTCAACTCTGTTTTCTGCGCCCCCTGCGAATCGCTTCTTCCTCACTTGCAGCTCTGCCTTTGCTCACCCGCTTTCCTCGCCCTGCCTGTTTGCCTCGTGATCTCCCTCTCCTTTTAATTAACTCTTCAGAATTGGTTTTTGGCCAGCTTTGCACCAGTAATCTCCTCTTGCCGCTCCCTTTTGCACCTGACCAGAGGAGGGTTGGGAGAACCAACTGCAGACAAACCACCCCTCCTCTGCCCCTCGCAGTCAGTGTAACAGCTGACTCCTTAATGGCTGTGGCATTCACAGTTAATCCCAGTAAGATGCTCTTTCCTGGCTGGTCTCTGCTCCAGACACCTGTCAGTCAGGGGTGTGAGGAGGTGCAGTCCCTTGCCAGCAGAGCTGTTCCAGCAGACACTCTTCTTAGAGCTTCAGTTAACCAGGTAGCTCATTTTGCATTGGGAAATGTGTGCAAGGGTTGTGCCTTGCCTTGCCGATGTGGAATATCGGCAGAATACAGGTTTTGTCTTGGGGGCTTTAATTCATTTATTTTTTTCCCTCTAGGAAGACAAATGAGCTAGCTCTATTGTTTGTACATGAGATTGCAAGTTCTTTGTGTCAGGGCCTCTGCTCTATTTTACTTTGTGTCTAGCATTTGGAGAGAGGGGTAGGGATTAGCACAGGAAAATTGATTTTTCTGGGAAACATCACTGCAGGCAAACTGGATTACTGCTTTTCTGAGTTCCTGGGAAGGCTGCTGCCCTGCAGGGCTGTGATGGAGACAGTGTTGTAGTAGTATTCCTCTTGGCTAGAAGTCTTGTGGTCCTCCAGTCTCCACAGATCTGAATTCCTCATCCCACATGTTACTCTTCTGAGTCTCATCTTTAAGAACAAGCTGTGCTTCTGCAGCCAGAGTGGAAATCCTCACAAGCAGTTGGAGGTAACTGGACTTTGTAGGGGAGGAGCGCAGAGAGTGAGGAAAGAGCTAGGGAGAGAGAGTGGAAAACTTCAGTGAAGAGTTTCCAGATGCTCTGCACCTGTATTGGAGAAGGTCCAGCAAGAAGGAGTTCATCTGGGCAAGTGGGAATGGTCTGTGCAGAGCTGGGCAGAGGTCAGGAGTACCAGTGGGTGCTGCCTTAAGCTTCACACCATTTCTGTTCGTTTTGCAAGGACAAGTGTATTTAAATTCTTTTGGTCTCATGCAAAGTAGGTTGGCAAAGAAGGGTACATATGCCACAGGAAGGATTTTACTGTTTCCCTGCCCCCCCCCTTTTGTGAACTTGTTCTGTGAGCCTGGAGAACCAGTCCTAACGGTGAGAACATTTTCTTTGCTCTCATTCCCTGCAGCTTAGTATCTCTGACTGATTACTAAAATGTGAGACAAGAAAATCAAGCCCATTCAAATGACCCTATTTTTTGTAGCTAATCTGTGGAACTCCGAGCTGCAGGTAACAGCTTCACCAGCTAAAATACACATAACTGTTCGCAGGCCTGCAGGATCCCTGTACAAATGTGGCTGTGTCCTTGGGTTCTGCAGAACCTTGTTGCTCAGGGGAAGACAGTAGGAAGTGGCTCCGTAGCCCTGTGTTCTCTAGTCCTTGGAGGCATAACTGCTAACTGCAGCTCATCAACAGAATAATTAACTAAATTCCAAATGCAGCACTGGAGCCTTGCAGCCACACTGCCTTCTCTTGTGATACACGGTCAGGATGTCTCCCAGCTCCTCGGCATGGGTTGCAGGTTGAATTTCTTTGGCCATTGCAAGAGGGTGAGGGGAAGGCTGAAGAAGGGGAATGAATTTCAGGGCCTGTGTGCGGCAATTCCAGCTGAAGGGCGTCTGCAAGCTTGGCTGCAGTCATGAGGCATGAGGGGGCACTTCAGCCTGGCAGATTAGCCAGCAGAGCCAGCCTGTAGCTGGGCAGGGCTTGGCACATGTTGCACTTGAGAGTTTCTGGCAGATGCATTTTGTAAAAGTCAGTGTGCCCTATTTGATGCACTTGTATCTGCCTTGGCAGAGGGTGCGTGTGCAGCTGTTCACGACCCGTGTGCAGGGCACAGGGAGGACAGAGGGAGCAGGGGTGAGGGGACTCCAGCCCAGGAGCAGTTCATCTAAAACCTCCCACTTCTTAATGCCTCTTCCCTTTCCTCTTCTTCTCTCTGTGCTCCCTCACTTTGACTTAATGCTTATAGAAAAGAGCGTGACCTCTGCACACTAGTGCTGTTAGCATCCCTCTCCTGATTTTCTTGACTAGGCTGACATATCTGATGTGCAGGGAGGTGGCAAGCTGTCAGCATGTGTCCCTGTTGCCATTTGAAGGGGGTTTGATTGCCAGGAAGGGGATTTTGAGGTGTGTCTTTTCCTCAGGGTGTTGCAGAAGGTCTGTGGGAAGGATATGTGAGAATACTGTGCTATTTCCAGTGTGCTTTCTAGGACTGTAAGACCTCACAGGCTTCCTGTAGCCTGCTGGCCCAAGATTGTGTATAACAGCCCCATAGAATTTCCCTGTGCAAATTCTGGTTTGGAGTAAAGAAGGTTTTGATTTGAATAGTACCAATTATTATTTCCATACAACAAGATATTAAAGTGTCTAAATGTGCTCAGTTACTTTAAAAAACTCTCTGCTTATTTCCAACCTGAATAGACTTCATCTTCAGGTCAATTAAATCTTATGTCCCCTGTTGGATAAATAGAAACACTACCCAAAAATGTGGTTACTTTGACTGGGATCGAGTCTTTCCTTAGCCTTCTCTTTCTTAAGGTCATGGAGCAAGTGCTGTCTTTCTGTAAGCCGGAATTTCTGGTTCCAGTCCTCCTTCAGAACTCATTTGAGGGTCTAACAGTGTTCTTGAAATGGAAGCGCTAACACTGAACACAGGATAAAAGTAGCAGTGCAGTCCCCTTCTATGCAATATTTCTGCTTGCAAGTATAAGAATCCCAGTAGTCATTTTTTCTATAGCATTGTGATGGGAGTTGCCTTCACCTGATGATCCCCGTGGCCCCAAAATCCTTTTTTGACTTACTGCTTCCTAACATAGTCCCACGTCAGGTGTGTTTGGCCTTTGATTCTTTAGTACAAGACCTTATGTTTGGCTCTTTTGGATTGTTTAATGTTTGCTCGAATCCAGCTTACAAATTGATCCAGATTACTGTGTAATAGTAACTCTTTTGTTATTTGCCCAGTCGGTGTATCATGTACAAACTGCTACCGGTAACTTTTTTTTCAGGTCGTTGATAAAAATAATTTGTAATGTAGAGGCAAGAATTGACTTTTCTAGAACTTCACTAGACTACATAAATACTGAATAATTATTCTTTTCTTTTGGGGCCCTACCATGTTTTTTGGTTTTAAAGTGCTGCAAAGTTGATTTTGGTATCATTATTGTTTAAGCAAAATGTTGTGCAATATAAGTATATTTATTGGAGCCTGTTACAATGTTGCATTCAGCAATCAATATTGTAGTATCACTGTGTTTTCCCCTAAACAATATGAGATTAATGCGACTAGATCTATTTTTGCACCATTTTTGCTTTTCCTGGAGTAATTTGCTCTTGGCCACTTAAAAGATGAGGCACTATGAGACTTTGTTCTCATATAGTAAGGCCGTTTGTGTGTTTTTATTATAATAAATCCACACTGAGTGATTATGCTAATTGCGCAGTGCATGTGTATATGTGCAATGCAAGGAGACTTTGGGCCAGTGGGGTCTTCTCTTTCCATGTGCCAAATATCTGTCCTTCGTCTGAGGGTCTTCACGAAAAGTATAGGTGCCCACAGAAACAAACCAGTGGTAGATATAGGAGTGAGAGCAGTGAGGAGAATATGATTTTTGGGTAGCGGCAGTAGGGGAACAGAAATGGTGTAATTTCTGAGCAATATTTTTCAAAATTAATTTTTCTGTGAATGTGGTAAGATTGGTCAATATACCAGGGCATGGGAAATGCCAAGCATGTATTACATCATGACGCATCAAGTGTCTGGTTCTGTTTTTAGGAAGAAGTATCAAAAGGTGCTAGCCAGTGTTGTTATAATCCAAAAGAACTACCGCGCATACTTCTGGAAGAAGAGCCTGCTGCGACTGAAGGCCTCTGCCGTCACCCTGCAGAAGCACTGGCGTGGCCGCCTGGCTCGCAGCCTCTACCAGCACCTGCTGCAGCAGGAACTCAGGCGGAAGGAGGAAGCAGAGGAGAGAAGGAGGCAAGAAGAGGAAGAACAGATCAGAAGAGAGGAAGAGGAAAGACAATGGCAAGAAGAGGAGGAGCGTAGGAGGAAACAGGAGGAGGAAGAGGTGAAGGAAAGGTACAAGATGATATCTTGCACTCGTAGTTCCCTAGCACTGAAGCTGCTGAGGTGTAAAAGCGGGTCTGGGGCACTGGCACGATGGTAACACTGGACTAGCAAACGCATGGGACAGTGTCCCAATGCCAGGGAAGACACTGCTTCCTTCCTTTAGGAAAGCTAATTCTGGTGTGTTTTTACCCTGTTCAGTGTTTTTCTGCTTTGGAATGGACATGAAAGGAGGCAGTTTCACTGACTGGGCAGAGATGCATAATTTTCTCGTTGCCTTTGCAGTGGTAAAGGAAGTTGTATGCAGTCTTCCAAAATCTGAAGGGATTAGCAGTGTGAGAAGGTACCAGTATCATGGGTCCTGGTGTGTCCAGTAAGTTGGGTCAGGGAGCAAGATGGGCAGTGCACGTGTGCTGCGACTGCAGTTCTTACACTCATGAGAATATACGTGCTCTCCCTGTTCCTGCTGCTGTGTATCTCTCATCAGGGATATGGATGCGTCAAGAGATCAGGAGGGGAAAGGAAAAGCTAATGTGACAAAAAGAGGCAGTCTGTACACCTATTGAGAATCCTGCACCTCATGCATCATTTCACTGTTCCCTCCATGGTTATCTACGTCATAGGCAAACTGGGTGTCTCTTGATAATCTTTTGTTTTAAGAATCATAAAACTTCAACTACAAAATTATTATAGAAGTTCAAACAAATAATCCTGTGACGTTTTAAGTTTTTCATAAATAGTTGGTTAGGTTTCTTGTGGGCTTTTGTTACATACTTGTCCCAAAGTTGGATCTTGGTAGACTAAGATGTGTGACAAGCATCAGAAAATTCTTAAGTTGAGAAGCATGTCACAAGGAAGGGATTGCCTGCAGTTTTGCTGGAGACAGTAGGGTGATGTAGCTGCTGGGACAAGACATGGAGTCAATGACAGCAATGATGAACAGTTTGGTCAAGGAATTTGTTTAACAACACTGAAGGCTCCATTTTGTCAATGTCTCAATTTTCAACAACAGCCTCATCAGCAATATGAAGCTGTGCAAGTTCAGAATATCCATAACTAGTTTGCAGATATCAAATGCTACAGACGCCCTCTCCGGTCTAAAGTCCTCATTGTGCTAAGTAGAGCTTGTTCCGACCTAGTTTTAGATAAAAGGACCCGTTTAGCTTATTCATTCTAGAGTGTTTCTGCCCCTGCCCTTTAGTTCCCAGCCCATGAAAGATGTGTTGCACCAAGCATCATTACAAGGAAGTGTCAGTGTTCCTAGGAATCAGGTGAACTGCTCATTTTGCTTTCATTTTCTGCCTGATGTCAAATGGCTTCATTCAGAGTGAGCAGCCAAAAAGGTACTAGCAGACCAACTTGGCTAAATCCTGAACTTCTGTTTGACTGCAAAAATGTGGTGGAAGTCCATAGAAATTGCAAATCAGCTAATCTACAGGGAACAAGCAAAAAAAAACCCAACACACATGCAGGGACAAAATTAGAGGGACCAAGGTGCAACCTCAGCTGTAACAAACTGAAAGCTGGCCTGCAGTTATTGTGCATACACTGTTAGTGAAAGGGAGACTTGGAACAATTTGGTCTACTGTTCAACAGGAAGAAAAAATTATAATGTTGAGAAAGCTGAAGTATTTGATGCTATTTTTATTTGTCTTCCCCAAAAGGCTTAACTGTTGGACACTAAATACAATTAGCACAGATGTGCAAGAATTCAGAACCTAGCAGGGACATAAAAGGCTGGAGAATGCTCAGATAAATCACATTACAAAGTCATCCAGACTTGGTGAAATGAATGTTTGGATACTTCGAGAACCGTCTGAAGCAGTTTGAATCAGTAGTCATTCTCTTTCTTTTCCTTTGTGGATAGCAGTGGAGTTTCCATAAAACTCAAAAGTTCCAAACATAATGACCGCCTTTTAGAATGGGAAAAGGAAGAATGAGGGAGTTGTGGACCCGTCAACCTAATCTCAATTTCAGGAAGATACTGAAACAAATAATCAAACAGTTGTAAATACTTGATAAAGGAGTTAAGAGCCAATGTGGATTTCTGAAGAACAAACAGCATTAAAGTTACCTGTTTCCTTCTGTGATAGCTTATGACATGCCTTGTGGATAGGGAAAAGCCATAGAGGGTAGATAACTTGACTTTGGGTAGGTAGAGGGGAGGTCACGACTTTGACATGTTATGACAATACTCTTAAGACACTATAAGCAATGCGGTTTGGAAAAAAGTGCACGAAGCACAGCTAGGATTTGTGTTTTTACTGCATTGTGTTATTGCATTTTAATTAGTAAATAGTAGGGTTTTTGTTAAATAGGAGAGAACTCTTGAATGGGATTCTTCAATGGTCTGTACTGGATATGGTACTAGTGCAATGCTTTCATTATAAGTTAGATGAGGAAGTATGAATATCCTTATTAAATTTGCAGATAAAACCATCTGGTGAGGGGCTGTAAGTACATAGCTAGACAGGATCACAATTCAAATAATTTTTGCAAATTAAAGTAGTAGTCTGGAAAACATAGGATAACTTTCAATACAGACATATGCAGATCTACAGTTAGGAATAATCAAATGCACAGAGACAGAAGGAGGAATGCCTGCTTCAACAGCAGGAAGAAGGTCTGGAGGCTAAGTTGAGTATTAGTCACCAGTGTCATGCTGTGTGAGAGGAGCAAGCAAATGCTGTCTATAAACAGGATTGTTTCTGTAAGATGTGGGGGTGATTCTTCTGTTCCGTTTGGCACTGGTAAGGCTTTATTTGGAGTACTGTCCCTAGTTTTGGGTATCACGTTTCAGGAGGTGTGTGGATCAGTTGGAGATGGGTGGAAAGCAGCAAGAAATATCAGAGGACTAAAAAATGTGAGGATCAGTTGCAGGCATTAGTGTGTAGATTGTAGGTGGTATTATTCCTGATTTGTTTTAAAATGGCTCTGCTTCTTGAACCCTCTTATCGTTTAAGGCAGTTGTTTAACTCATGACTACTGTTAGTGATCTTTCAGTAGAGTGGGAACCATCTGGATCTTACTTATGTCAGCTTTCATTTATAAATATTTCCTGGATTTTTTTTTGAGAGAGAGAGGGAGGGAGTGCAAGAGTGAGAGCTTTAAGGACTTTGTGGCTTGCAGCTGCAATTTAGAATTTGGCTGGGAAAAGCTGCAGGGCCTGAGAAATAAACATTGTTGCCCTCGTGTTCTGCTCGGGGTTGAATTATAGATTCATAAGTTACCACTGCCAGTCTGAATTCAGCCGCGCAGTGGTTGCTACAGGCAGATTCTTCCATCCAGCCACATGCTATCCCTGCTCCCTGGGCACGACCCAGCATTCCTCTCGTCTGCTAGCTCGGGTGCTTGTAGCGTGCTCACTATGGAGAAATTGGCCATAGTGACAGCTTTCCCTTGGAGTACAACCTTTTTGATCTGGGTGGAGATGCAGCACCGTGGGATAGTTTTTTTCCTCTACTCATATTTACTAACAAACTGATTCTTACAGCCTTTACTAGTAAACTAGGTTTTGCACGCCACTGGGAAATTGTGCATGCGGGAACGTCCAGGTCTTCAGAATAGAAACTCCTCAGCTTAGTCATTTAACACAGTACAAAAATGTGATAACTTTTTTTGGGGCAAAATCAAACATGAATTCAGTGCTGATATTGCAATAATTCTGTTCTGTTTAAAAAAAAAAAAACGAGCACGGTTTCCTGATATCTGTCAATTATGCATGTACAACCCCATTTAATATCCATGGGTGTGTAGTACTCCAGAGGATTCTATTTACATTTATCATGAGTCTAACTGATCTGTCTTTCTGTCACTGTTTCTAATGTCCTTCCTAGTATGTTCCAACTAATCCAATTTCCTGATTGATCTGAAAGTGCGTGGGGAAAATCTGTTGTATCCACAAAGGTCATGCCAACCACAGAGAATTGGATTTTTACTAAATTACAAAAGCTTTTAAATCAGTCTTAGAACAGGTACCTTATTTTAACCTTATCCGTGGAGGGATGATGTGTTCATGTGATTCTGAAAGCTTCATGTAGGAGAACTTGGTCTCTCTCTGACTATCACGTCTTGGTTTTTTAACAGAGAAAAGGAGCAACTGAATGCACTACTCCAGGTGGCTCAGGTAAGTTTAACAGTTACTCTTTTCATGTGTCTTGAATATCTGTGAAGGGTTCTTCATTGCCTACACTTCGCCTGGAGCTAATATTGTTATTGTGGCAACACTATTTAAAAAATGGGCTTTATTCACCCAAAACCTGCATGTTTGGCTTTGGCAGAGGCACATAGAGTTAACAAGGTAGGGATTTCTTTCAAGGTTCGTGTACCAGCTTGCATAGTTCCTATTTGAAAAGTTCTGTATTGAACATGCAGCATCCTTTTTTTACCTCTACTGCTTGAGCTTATTGCATGACCTTGTGATGTGCTACACGGTGACACAGTCTGTTTGCTGGATTGTTGCCTGTAACAGCCAAAATAAGAGTGCAGCCGGCTGCTATCATGGCTAAAATAAACCCCTTGTAACTGATCTAATTGTTGCTACTTGATATATCAAAGAGCAGACCACCTACCCTGAGGTGTGTGAAAACAGCTGTGTATCTTCTTGTTTCTTTTCCCAAACAATATATTCCCCAGTTTCAGGCCAGCTCTGTTCAGGAGAGATGACAGACTAGAGTATAAAAATGCATTTTTCCACAAATAAGAGTCGAGTAGAGAACAAGCAACAGGTTAACTGTAAAGAAAACAAGGATTGTGGCTTGAATGGGCCAGTTCATTGGCTGCATTGTCATAGTCTTGTCAGGAAGTACAAGAAATCCTTTTGGAATTTATTTTTGCTTTTTCTTGTGTGTATATGTTTTCAGCATCCTCCGTGGAGGGGGACGATGGTTTTATTGTATAGCTAAACATCAGTGAAAGTTGTCTTCCGTCTTCTAATTATTGTGTACTTGCTAGATATTTCCTGTTACTTCAGTGTGGAGAATAGAGGAAGACAGAATCTTCAGCAGCTAGTCATCATCTATCTGGTGGTGCTAAAGAATGCCAAGAAATTTTGAGTGGAGTTTTGGTGGGGTGGGGTTGGAGTGGATACAGTCCTGCTTCATTGCAAATATTCCTTCCAGACCTAGATTCTGATGGTCAGACCCTCAACTTAGGAAGCAATGAAATCCTCAAATCTTTTAATGAATTTCTGGGAAATCTTCGGCTCTTAGACAAGCTATGTGTATGTATATTTGTATATAGTTGCTTTCTGCTGTATGTGTGTGACATAGTTCAGAAAGAGAGGATGGGCTTTCAGAATGTTTTTATCCAAATTGTAGTGTACAAAGGACTTTCACATGAGCAGCAGAAAGAGAGGGTCTTCTAAAAATTCACTGATCCCAGTGGGCTTCTTTGTATGATTCAGAAAGGAGGTACACTGGTGGAAAAAAGAAGGTACCTGAAGATCCAGTAGTTCTAACTGTAGCTTTTACACCATGGATAATTGCAGGATGTTTAGAGTCATCGTTTTGCAGATGGGAAGTACAAGGGAAGCACAGGAGATAGGAAGAAAGAAAGGTCCAGGCACGGAATGCACGTAGGTTGAAGAAACTGCTTTAATGCTATTATAAATTCTTTAAGGTGGAAGCAGTAGAGACTGAGGAGGTAGATATTCCTCTGCAAGAAGAAGAGAGACGTCAGATGGAGGAGATCTTAAGACTGGAGAAGGAGATTGAGAAGTTGCAGCAACAGAAAGAGGATCACATGTCTATCATCTGTGAAAACACTAGGAATGAAATCAACCGGCAGCGAGAAGAAGAGATCCAGAGGCTGGAAAAGGAGGCATCTAGGGTTGCCCAGGAGTTCTTGGAGCTGCTGGATTTTGGCAATCTGGATGAAAGTGTGCAGAACTTAGAGCGCTCACTTTCTAGTGAGGGCACACTCAACATTGACTGCAGCCTGGTGGCACCACTGGCTGAAGAAGAAGTAGATGAGGGTTTTCATGCTGATGACGAAGGACGGCCAACTTCCAGTTTGGGGGTCCTGAATCAGCACGGCACAAGAAACAGTGATAACTACTCAGAGGAAGTTGTGGACACAAGCCTTTCGCTTCTCCAAAGGGATGTGAGAGAGGTTGTCCCTGCTCCAGGACAACCTGTGGAAAGAACTGCTAGCCCCGAGGAGCAGAGAGCTCTATCTGACCCAGCAGAAAGCATTTACAGCACTGTCTCAGATAAGCAGAGGAGTAACAGTGGAGAGATGGGAGAGCCAATTTACACTTCGCCCCCAGATGTAGAGTCTGACTACGACCATGAGGAGTTTGATGGCTGTGGAGATGCAGGTAGCGCCTCAGCTGAGCCTCTGAATGGTGAGGAAGGTCTGAGACACTCCCATGGTACCAGCCTGGACTCCAACCGTGGCAGCCTGGACTCGGTAAGAATCCCTCCCTTCACCTTTCCTTTCACATCAGTGTGACTTGGTTGATATGTATAATACCCTTGGCTTCTTACTGTGTGCCTGCTTGCTCTGGGTATTGTTACTGCTATATAACTCTCTCTCACACCAATAATCAGCTTGAAGAAAAAGGAAGAGTCTTAGATAGGCTGAAGGCCACAGGGCTTGCGACTGTCTGGTGTCTACTGGTACACAAGCACATATTTACCTAGGGTATTTTAGATTGTTTCCATCACCATATATTAACGTAACACCCTTTAGGAAGACTGAAAGCAGGCAACTAGTATCTTGTAGGTATATGTTCCACCTTAGAGAGATTTCAGAGGTAGCCTGAGCTTCTAGTGGACAATCACAAGAGGAAGTGGGAAAGGCTGGGGTTTGATTTGTTTTCCATCACTAGAACTTCTCTTGTTCTAGTGCTGTTACTGTTCAGAGTCAAGAGTTTATTTTCAGCCACTGTGTATAAGTTAAGGTATTCTAAGACTAGAAGAATTACTGTGCTGAGCCAGGCTGGGCCCCGGTGTACGCAAGTGGAGACCACTGGAGCTTTTTGTTCCTACCACAAGGACAATGACAGGGTAGTAAAGCTGGGCTGTTAGCCTCCCACTTGAAGCATCTCAGCTTAGATCCCACTCTAGCCTCTGGAATTCCTGAGTGCCCTCAGGCTAGTTGTTGAATAATGCAATGATAAATCCCCTTACAGGACAGGATGTCAGATAAGCCCACTTAAGATTGTGGGGAGTTCAGGTGTGAAGCCAATGACAGTCATAAAAATACTTCAAATAAATGATGACTCTGAGAACAGAGACTTGACCTACGAAGTATCTCTTTAGAAAATGGTTGATTTTTTTGTTTTAAGGATTTCAGTTTACTTCCTTTGCTGTTCTTTTCCATTGGCAGATTGTGACCCTGCTTAAAAACTTGCATGATTTTTCCTGTTTGCATTTCCCTAATGTCAGCTGCCAGCCATCAGAATTTTTTATGATGTGATCTGCTTGAGTAAAGGTACCTTCTCTGTGGGCAGGTACTCACAGATCACTGTCAGGTAATCTTCAAGTCATGAATCATTCTGTCACAACCTGGGCCAGTTTCTACTGTTCTTAAAATGTAAATAGAAGTTGAAGGTTTTATTGGGCTCCTCAGTGAGCAAGACTCATGAAAAATCCAGCTGATACTATGTCATGGCATGAGCTACAGCAAGAGATAACTGCAGCTGGGTCAAGATCCTGTCAGTAGCTGCTGATCCAAGAGTGCCTGCTTTTTGAAACGTCATGGTAAGAGAGGGATAATGAATGAGTGGAACAGGAATGTGACAAAAGAGGAGCATGAAGGGGTCACAGAGGGAGGATAGAAGGGAAAAATGAAAAGAAGCTACATGCGTTTGAGGAAGGAGCTGCCTTCATTAGTATTAAATTAATAAAGCCAATCAAAAAAAGTTGTATTTAAGGTAAAGGAAATGATAGGGTGATTTGGGATTTCGTGTATGAAGTACTTTCTGATGGCTGAGGGCCATTATCTAGTTGGAGAACAGGGATGAGTAAATACAGTACTATTATTTCAGTAATTTAGGTCTTTGTTTTTAGGGTTCAGTTATCCTGGAATATGCTTTTTTTCCTAATCAACTCAAAGCAAGGCATTTCCTTGCTGGAGTTAGATCAGTGCTCCATCTTGTCTAGCATCCTGGCCTGTCTGCCAGGAAAGTCAGAAAACTTCTCCAAAATGAAAAATTCTCTCGTAGTCCCATTAAATTGTATTTTGGACTGCGGGCTCTGCTTTGAAACAGGAAGGGTTTTTGCTGCAGGTCACTGGAGTTTTCTAGCCATGTCCACTGCTGAATGTTACTCTCTTTTCTGGTATGAAAATTCCATGCTCTGGAGACTCTTGCTTTAGGCATTAATGGGTAAGCTGTCAAGCCTCTAGTTTTACTGTATTACTTTTTTTATAAAGGGAGTATGTGTAGTTTTGCACCTTCTGATCATGTGACTTCTCTAGCCTTGCTAATTTGCTCCAGTCCTCCTGTGACCAGGAGAACCCAAGCAGCCTGTATTTCTTCTTTTCTTTTTAGTTCCTGGACAGTGAAGAAGAAGTGGATGTTTACATTGACACAGATGAAGAGTTTTGTAATGGACGAATCACGATCTTCAATGGCTCAGGACCACCCTATTTTCACAGCTATCTCTACATGAAAGGTAAGGGGCTTTAGCCAAAACCATGGAAGGATGGAATCCAGGAAACCCTCTCTCTTCTTCTGTTTCTCCAGAATCATAATCTTCATCTGCTCTTAGTTCTCTTTCCGCGTTTACTCTCTCCCCGCCCCCCGGCCCTTCTTTTATTTAAAACAAGCAAATAAAAAAAAGAGCTAGGATGTGGATGTCAGGGAATTAGACCCGATGTGTTTGCTGCTGGGACCTGATTGTGCCCACTTGGTGTATGGGCTTAAATGACTCATTCTGAGCTACAAAACTGAAGACAGTATAAAAATATTTGAGTAGTGAATATATTTCTATAGTTTGTGTTTGTTTCACTAGTTTGTTCTGTTTTTTTCTCTGTCCAAACTTAGGCATAACCTTGTTTATCCCCTTCAGCTTCTTTGTTTCATGTAGGAACTGAAGTGGCCACTAAGTGCCTGTGAAGTAGGATCAGAATGGAAACGTGGCCCTTGTTGCGTGTTTGATGAAATCTTGCTCCCTCACTTTGCAGGAGGTCTCATGAACCCATGGAGGCGGCGCTGGTGCGTTCTGAAGAACGAGGCCTTCATGTGGTTCCGCACCAAGCAAGAGGCACTGAAGTCAGGCTGGCTCTATAAGAAAGGTGGAGGCATGTCAACACTTTCACGCCGCAACTGGAAACGCCGTTGGTTTGTGCTTCGAGAATCCAAGTTGATGTACTTTGAAAATGATAGCGAGGAAAAGCTGAAGGGGACAATTGATATCAGAAGGGCAAAGTGAGTGAAGAAATCAATCCTTTTGATCCCTAGTATTCACTCTCTAAATGAATAATGAAGTGTCCGGTGCTGCCAGTTCGTTTGCCTATGTATCTTATATAGGGCTCGGAGAATCAGAAACATAAGGGAAGGAAAAGACAATTAGAACTTCTAGTTTTGCTCTGGAGGGAGTCTGGAATTATTTGATAGTTCTTTTCCAGTCTTGCATTTCATAATCTGGCAGAAGCTCTTTCCAAGCCATGGATGGAGCCAGACCAGGAGGGGCTAATTAAGTACATACCCCATGCATTCTCCCCTACCCTGACTCCATCTGTTTCCTGGCTTCTCCAGGCATTTCACAGAGGTGGTATGAAGCTCACAGCGGGATTTGAATTTGGCAGCATGTACTATGCCTTTTGCTGAGTCCTGAATGCTCTTTTTGCTGCCATAGCCAATGCCTCAGCTCCTGCTGCAAGAGAGACTAGTCGCCTATTAGCATTATGTGGACCTGTAAAGTGCCAAAAAGAGTGACACGTCCCACTTTGCAAACAGCCCTCTATAGCAACCTCCCTGTTACCTCTTCTTCCATCTAGTCTGCTGGTGTCTTGAAGAAAATTCATTTGACACCTTGCTTTTGTAGTAGGTTAAATGTACAAATCTTTTTAAGGGGACCCTAAAAGTCTTAATGTGTTTGGGAGGAATTTTGTATATCTGTTGGAGTTATAAGCCATCTGAACCAGCGATTTCCCTTCTGTATGGTGAATGGTATGATGTGAAAAAAATTGGCCGGGTGGAATTTATGCCTGTGAAAGGTTTTCAGTTTTGGCTCTTGTGATTTGCTGTGTTCCAGGGAGATTGTGGACATTCATGAAAAGGAGAATGCCTTGGACATTGTGACAGAAGACAGAGTTTATCACATTGTCGCAGAGTCACCAGAAGATGCCAGGTATAAGAAGGAGTTTTGTTAGGTTTGTTCATTCAGTGCAGGTCTGACCCAACTATTCATGGGAGAGCCTGGGAAACGTAATCACCTCCATTTTGCTGGAGAAAAGAGGGGATTTATTCCAGAGTGTCATTTTATGTTTACTGGGAGGTACCACACCTGCTTTGGGGACTCCCTGTTGCAGCTGCCAAGATGGTGGTTCAGCCTGTGTCAGCCACAGGACTGCTACCTTCTTATGTGGCTGTGAGCAGGCTGAATTCAAGGGTTACTTCAGGAGACACACAAAACCTTAATATAAGCTGGAACATCTAATAGCTGATTTATTTATTAAATGGAATCTTGAATCAAACAAAAGTCTATTCATGTTGTCTGTAAATGATTGTGAGAGCAGCTGGGTTTTATCCAGGAGACAGAGAAAAGGCTGCAGCTTATCAGAGTCTGTAGTGTCATCTGATAAAATCTTCCCAGTGCAAAGCAAACAAATGACTCATGTCCTTCCTTCTTGGCATCCTGGCCAGGCAGTGGGAATCAGTTGTTTAAGGGCAGGTTGGACAACCTATTCTGGCTATGCAAAGCCAAGAGTAAGAGGTTACTGTCCCTAGCTGCTCATGTCTTCCCACTTTTCCCACTGTTACAGAGGCTTCTGCTCTCTCAGCCCAGGCAGTGTTAACTGTTTCTCTGATCGACTTCACTGATTCTGTGAAGTTATTTAGAGTCTGTTACTATTTCATTCGGGTGGAGGAAGAGGAAGGGGGAAGGTTTTTGGACACAAATTAACAGCAAAAGACTAAAGAACAGCTACATGAAGAAGAAACAGGCAAATCCAAGCTGAAGAAACAGTAACTTCTTAAACCCAGAACTCCCACAACTGGAATAGGCATGCCCTAAGATAACATTGCAGAATTGCTAGGGCAAGTGTAAACCAAATGTGGCCTTTGTCAATGCCCTATCAATCTCGGTTCTGAGGGAGAAGAAAGTACCAACACTTGCACTAGCAAAGAGCAGATTAGCAGATGTCGTAGAGAATCCTCCGTGAAGTCTAGATGTTTGCTGATCTCACTAGAAGCTGCAGATAAGAATCTGCTTGTTCTGCAACAGAGATTAGCCTCCAGATATGTCTGTAATGAGAAGCCCTTTCACAGACAAATAACTTAGCTCCAAATCAACGTATAAGAAAAACCATGATTAATTGACAGCCATATGACTTTGAAGTTTATGAGCAGATCAGAGAAAGACTAGTTAAGAAGGCTCCCAGACATCTCTAGGACTCTAGTCCAGGAAGATTCCCAACTGACCCTGTCTTTACAACTGCTGCGTGCTCTTCTCAGTCTGCTGACATGTGCTCCCTGGAAAGGCCACTGCCTGCTTACAGTTCCTTGAATAGCAAATAGAAAGCTGGATTTTGCAGAAGCAGCTGTCAGTGGGCTGGAGAACATGCACAGAATTTTCATGGATGAATAAGGAGGAAGGAAGACATTAGAATCTGGTATGATCAGCCCAAGAGATATTTTGTGGCATAGTCCTCAGGAAATTGTGAATGAAGAAATTTTCCCACTGGCAGCTTTCCAGGTTCCTTGACCATATTCTAGAGCTAGTTGCACTGCCCAGATCTTAACTTTGAGTCTGTTTTGATTGCCAGCGGTTGGTTTAATGTCCTGAGCCGAGTACACAGCGCTACAGCGCAGCAGCTGAGGGAAATGCAAGATGAACAGGCCAATCCAAAGAATGCTGTGGTGAGTTACTGTGCAACCAGTCTGTGGGCATACTTAGAGCCCTCTGTGTTTAACTATTTTGTGCGTGGTTTTCCAGCACATGCAGTGCTCTAGTTCATGAGCAGGATAAGAAAGTTGGACAAGTATTATAAAGAAACAGCAAAGCTGATAGAAAAGAGGGTAAGCAGGGGAGAACGTGGTGGGTGGCTCAGCTTGATCACCAATAGCTCTCTTTGGTTTGAGGGGAAGAGGGGGGCTGCCTCATGCAGAGAAAATGTCTTTGGATAGGATTATGGGACTAGTCTGGGTCACAGTTATTCCAGACAGAAGATATGCAGTTGGCAATAACAGTTGCATTTCTGTATTTTGCCAGTACTGAGATACTAGCAAAGGTTATTTCAGACCTTCATAACGCTCTCTGGAAATGTGTAGCTCTTTTTCCTCCAGTCCTGTGGAGCCTTTGCACATCTTACCATGCCGTTTAGGGAGCAAAGATGACTCACTCATGCTGTTCTCATATGTTCATTTCTACTCAAACTATTGGAATTCAGAATGTTTTCAGTTCAAATCCAATGAAGGAGAATGTCTGTAATTTAAGATGCGAGCAATTCCTGTTATCTGTGTCTTTCTCACTGTACAGGGGACCCTGGATGTTGGTCTTATTGACTCTGTCTGCGCCTCAGACAATCCTGATAGGTAGGTGCAGCAACCTGACCATCTCTTAGATCAGAAACTCTCTAACATAATTTTGTGGATGGGTCCAGGTTTTCTTTGGGGTTTGCATTTGTTTAAACTCAGAAGAATTTATCTCCAAACAAGTAAACATAATTGAAGTCTTTAGCTTGTTTCAAGCTATGTCACTTTGCAGGCCTGAAGTTCACACATGTATTTTCTTTGAGTGAAAGTTTCTCCTTTCCGTCTTAAAAGTGGAAACAGCATAATCTCAATGTCAAGAAATTAGTCTTACCTATTATTAACACTGAACAAAAATGTCCAACAAAAACAACACTTGCAGTTTTTCAACAGTACTTTTGAGTTAATCTTGTAAATTTAGAGGAAGCAAACAGCATTGTGGAAGAATAATGGATGAATTTAGAAGTCTGTACTCTTCTTGAAGTCTTCGCAATGCAACAAAGCACAGACCTTTAGTTCACAGACTGATTAGTTTCACATTATGGGACATTTCATATCACTTTATGTTAACATTTAATTATTTCCCAAAGTGTTAACAGGTTCATCCCGGGCAAAGATTCTTACTACAGTGCTGAAGTAAAATGTTATCTATTAAGTTATTTACCTCTGTGGTCTGTTTTTTTTTTTCTCACACAGATTGCCAGGACTTTGGGGTTACTAGTTTAGAAAAGGCATATGTCAGTAGTGAACTAAGATTTTGTTGATAAAAATGTTTTTGTTTTAGCCAGTTCTCAGCCTGAGCTTCTCATAGTTAATCCGTGCACCCGTAAAAAAACTAGGCACAAATAGTAGGCTGCAAAGTCAAAATTTGTTCATGCATCTGCTGAGGTACACTCTTCTGAAGTACTGATGTTTGAATCAATGTTAAATAAATTCTGAGGAGAATGCTGATTTTTGAACCAAGGTTTTTGTACAGCTTATTTTTATGTTGCATAGGTTTATGCAATGGTCAGCCAGTTGCTTGATTTGTACTTTTTACCTTTTGCTTCATACTTGCATTCTAGTTTTCAATTTCCCTGTTTTCTCATAGAAATCTGTGTTTGCTTTCAAAACTTTCTGAGTCTATCCTCTTGGAACTGCTCATATTTTTATTTTTCCATTTTCCTGTAAAGCATCAATTCTGTGCAGAATTGTGAATATTCTTTTGGAAGGACACATTTGTCTGTTGCAAGAGAAGGACAAAGTCATCTATGAGCAACATAACCGTTTTTCCAGTTTTGTCAGGATCAGCTTATCTTTTTAAAAACCAGCCTCAAACCCATTTTAGCTGACCCTGCTGGGACCTACGTTTGCTACTGCATCACTGGTTTTAAGTTCGAGTAGAATGGCTATACTAGCCCAGGCCAGTGGTACTAGCACTAGCTCAGTCCACCAGAGAGTAGAACAAAGTCCGTTGCTTATGAACCCAGGACATTTTACAGCTGGTCATTAGCTAATTAGTGTTTTCTTGTCTTTGGAAATAGCTTTCGAAAGAGGTTTAATTCCATTTATCTGGTCTCTGCATTCATCAGTTTGCGGACCAAATGCACAGGAAATGCTCTTAAGTGTTTCTACGCTTCTCTGTAGTTTGTATTCAGAGAATCTTTCTGCGTTGTCTATGGGAAGGTAGAGGACATGGGGCTCAGGCTGTGCTGTGAGTTGAGATATTTGTATTGTTATGACTAATTTTAATGCTTTTATTTTCTGGCAGACCGAATTCTTTTGTGATCATCACAGCAAATCGAGTGATTCACTGCAACAGCGACACCCCTGAGGAGATGCATCACTGGATCTCCCTGCTGCAGAAACCAAAAGGCGAATCTAAGGTTGATGGCCAGGAATTCCTTGTGAGAGGTAAGAGGAAATGCATGCAGTTACAGCATGTGAAACTGATCTTCAGTTTATGATCTGAGGGGGAGGTTTGATTGCAGCTAATCCAATCTAGGGTTCAGCTGCTCCTCATAAACAATCATTCTCTGCCCCTCTCCACTTTTCTACCTGCTGCTTGCCACGTCCTGTGTTATGCTGGCACTGACTCTTTTCTGATTCCCTGTCAGGTGGATTCAGAAAGCTCAAGCTGGAAAAAAAATACGTACTTCTTTATATGTTTAGTTTTCTGATGTTAATAGCCTATTTCAACAAGTCCAGCAAATGCCATCAGGGAATAGGAGGGAGCGTGGCTGCTGTTTAGCAGCAGCTGGCTTAGACTGACTATGACATGACACTGCAGCTTTTGTTTTCAGAAAGCTCTGTTCCTTCTGACACCTGTCATGTAGAGAGGGAGGAAGAGAGATCTTTGTGGGATTGCTGCTGTCTTCAGCTAAACAAACCAACCTGATTATGGTAGATGTAGTGAGGTGAGAATAATTCTCCGAGGCTGAGCAAAATATTTCAATTGTGTCTCTAGTTAGAGCTTAGCTGGAGATGGAGGAGCTGATGCATGAGCAGTGTTCACGCACATCTAACAAAATGCGCCCCCATTTGTCTCAAATATTTTAAAATTTCCTTAGTATTTTCAGCTTGTCACATGGTCTTAAATGTATGAAGACACTCCTGATCCAATCGGTGGAAAGCAAGTGCATGAGCAAATTGCCTTACATCTGCCAGAAAGTATCTATGAGGGAATAAAGGTTTGAGAGTTGTCATGGCAAGGCAGGACGACAGGAAGAAAAGGGCCACCAAAAAGTGGTGTAAGCCATCCATCTAGTCTTAAACATTTCAAGGAGACTGAATGATATAAAGCAAATTATCAGACAACAGTTTGAGTACCTTAAATTCAAAATACTTAATTGCCAAGCAACAGTTTCTTTTATCTCATATTGTTCATTAATTAAAGAAAAAAAAGGAATGCACCTTTGCGAAGTCACTGCATGCTCTGCACTTCACAGTAGGAGGTCTGTGTGACAGTGGCATAGCCACAAAGGCATATATTCGGGAAGGTTTGTCTCCTTATCTCTCTATGGAGCCTCTGGGCTTGGTCCCACATTCTTTGAACTTTTTGCCTTATGAGTGGACATTGCTTTTTACGGCTCTGAATAGAAAATTGTCTTTTTGACAGCTTTAGCAATGCAGACTGTCATTTTTTCTTTTATAGTAATGAATTTTCTTTTTTTTTTTTTTTTGTTTTGTGAGGAATCTAAAACGAGAGAGAAATTATTTTTCCTGAATGTAGGAGAAAGAGATGCATGTAATGCTGACAGATCTTTCTACTAGAAGACATGTCTCACCAAACCTCTTCCATCGAGGTCTGGATATGCATTTGGCATCTCTTTGGAAGAATGAATTGTAAATTATTTATTCAGATGTTTGTGACTTGTGAGGGAAGCATCCTGGGTAGAGGATGCCCTCGTGGTGATGGCAAACTCAACAACAGATCAGTGATAAAAAAAATACATAGGGCTAAAGGATGGAACAGCTCTGAGGAAAATTTTGGGCTAATTTCTTACAGTGACTGCGCAGGATACTGCTATAGCCACTAAAGCAGAGCTGGTAGGTCCCAGCATGAGCCTTTAGCAGAGAGGTGGAATTCTGGTCCCAGAGTTATAGAGAGCCACCAGGCAAAAGACAAGATTGCCATGATGGTGAAACCATTGACATGCTTGTATTCCTGTGCTAGGCTGGCTTCATAAAGAGGTTCAGAGCAGCAACAAGATGTCCTCTCTGAAGATGAAGAAACGCTGGTTTGTTCTGACAAACACTGCCCTCGATTACTACAAGTCATCTGAGCGCACAGCTGCCAAGCTTGGCACACTTGTGCTCAATAGCCTCTGCTCTGTAGTGCAGCCTGATGAGAGGGTCTTCAAAGACACAGGTAAGAGGCAGAAAGTTGTAATGAGCAGACTTCCATGTGTGGAGTTGCCTGAAGAGGGGACGGTGCAGGAATATAATGGTGTGTCACATTGAGAAGGCAGTCTTCATGTTATCTGAGGTCTGTGTCTGGCTGCAAACATCTTTCCCCACAGAAACTGTAAGAGACTTGCAAAGCGCCAGAGAGTAGTGTGCAGGTGACGGTAAGTCTCTTAGACTTGATCGGGATACACAGCGCTGATGTTTGTTCACTGAATAGTGTCACTGTTTATCTGAGTGTTTCCCAAATAGGGAAAGGAGTATGAGTTCTTATAGTTGATACTGTAATTGTCAGTACACCTCCTTGTACTGTATGTGTCACTTTATAGCATCACCTACATTTGTCTCTGGACTCAATGTTACTCTCTTAAATAACAGTAATGGCATTCACTGTAAGGCTTTTTTGTAGTATCACTCAACTTGTTAGAAATCAAAGATGACAAGGGCCTATGTTTGCTTTCTGTGCACCGTGACACAGTTCTGGGAAGACAGGATCTGGCATGATCCATCATTGCTTGCCTTATGAGTTTGGTGGGGACAAAGGGTGAATCACCCTGACAAAGAAGGTGAACCTTAGAACAAGACTTGAAATACTGGACATTTGAGTAGTGGAGTTCCTTGGGATATTTTTAAAAAGGGCTGGCAGCTGGAAGAATTTGGTAAAGTGAGATGAGAGGGAATTTGTTCTGCTCCCTTGCAAGAAATTATCCATGTTTTTGATCTCAACAGATGTCTAGGGCTACCTTTAGCATAAATGAATTGTCATCGCCTTGACATGTTCTCTCAGTTTATGTCAAACACATTATTTTTAAAAGTTTTGACTGGGTGCTGTGTATAGAGTGGTCTTTTTCTGAGTGATTAATAGCACAGTGTAGCCCAAATGCTGTCTGTGAAAGCGAGCTGCCTGGTTGGCAGGACAGTATGCGCGTTACACTGCAAGATACTTG